AGTAACTAGTTACTCTGAGTAAGTTAGTAACTGCCAGTTTGTACATAGAGGGGCTATTTGAGATATGTCAATCAATTTAGTAATAATAGCGATGCTGTTTGTATATCTATGTGGAATATGTTATACAGTATAATTTGTGCAGCCTTGTGAAGTTTGAATACTCTTATCAGGACTCAGACATAAAGCAAAAAGCCACTAGATTCTTACCACCTGTTTAAGGTTAGTATTATATATAGCCTGATTTTATATCTTCAGTTCAGTAAAGCCTGAATTGGTCTAAAATGAAAGGAAAAGCAAATATATTATGTGGCTTATAGAGAACCAGTTAGTTTAAGTCAAACTAATGCTTTTAATTTTACAGTAAATGCAGCCTACTTTTCTGCTGTTTCACCCGCATTAAACTGGGATCTGAGTGAAGCTTTTCTCTCCTAACACGACTGAATGGTAACTGTGGTTAAACACATGACCCGATTTAAGAACTTAGGACTTAACCCAGTTTATTTATTTATATGATATGTGTAAATAAATGTCGCTCATATGAGATAAATAAAAATAAAAAAATAAAAATGTGTTTCTCAATCATCAGGAGAAGCAAAGGATGACAGACAAGCTGGAGGATACCAGTCTGCGGCTGAAGGATGAAATGGACCTTTACAGGAAAATGATGGACAAACTGAGGCAAAACAGGGAGCAGTTCCAGAAAGAGAAAGACGCCATGCAGGAGGTATTTAGTCATCCGACTGTCCCAGGCTGACAAAAAGCTTTCCAGATACGGTATGATGTCATTTATCAGTCTGTTCTGTGGTCTGTAGTTAATAGAGGACCTGCGTCGAGAGCTGGAGCTCTTGCAGCTCTACAAGCTGGAGGCAGAGAAGCCCGGTCGGAGCCGCAGCTCCTCATCTGGACTGGCGGACTTTAACTGCAGGTCCAGAGAGGTGGAGCTGGAACATGAGGTCAAGAGACTGAAGCAGGTACAGATACATTTCCTCTTTTAAATTTGGTCAAGTTTCAATGTGTTACAGCTGCTCTATGTAGCAAAGTAGCATTGATATTTTTTTGTTTAAAGTAACAAAAAAAATTCTTCGGTTTCAGCTCTTGAGATGAATAAGACCTTTTGTATTTATCTACAAATCCTTCTTTTCCTCGCCGTCTCTCCATCATAAGAGTTTTGTGTGCTTTTATTATGATCCGTTACTAGAATCCAGTGTTTCCTGACTGTTTTATATGTCAGCTTCCCTTCAGGCTCTCCAACATAATAATGTGGTTTATGTGCTGCCACAGAGGTAGAAAAGTGTCTAACTGTTCATGAATCAGTGTTTTTATGACTGCAGAGATTAGAGTGAGCTGAGGGGCTCCCTCCCTCCTCGTGTCCGTTTAGGTTCACCAGCCGGGATGTCGGATTTGACAACAAATCATAATGACTCCTTTTACCAGCTCTTAAAACCCCCTTTTTACTGCAGCGCTGCACGGCATGAGCTGCAGATATTTTAACTCGGGAATAGAAAGTTTACTCAGGCTAAACCGTGTTGACTTTTATGTGAATACCGGCCATAGTCTGTATATGAGTGGTGTGTTTTTTAATCATGCCTTCATGCTTGTAACAATTCAGTCTAAGCTGTCCTGCAAAAAGTATTCATACCCTGAGAAGTTTGTAAACAAATTGCAAAAATCATTAATGTATTTCCCCTGGGATCTTATGTGGTAGATGAGCAGAAGTGGAAAGGGAAAAAAATCTGTTCCAGGTCAATATTTTCTTTGATAAAATCTGAAAAATGTGGCATAAATTTTAAATGAGCAATGTTTACTTTTAATTCCAGTAAATAATGTGTAGAAGTCATGTGATCAGCACTCTGTTTGCTGTTCCAGGCTTTCCTTCATACATTTCTAAAGAATTCATTAAACAGCCCCAATAAAATACAACACAAAAAAGCTTGAAAGTAGAGCATCCTGGAAACAAACACTTGTAAAAGAGCTGAAACTGGGATGAAGGTGCACCTTCCACCAGGAAAATGACTGTAAACATACATCCAGTGTGTTAACAAGTCATTTCAAAGTATTTTCATCTGTTCAGTCCTACTGAGAAATATTGGCAAATCTCTGTCTAACTGAGTTTACCCACAGCAGAAATATAAAATAAATATTAAATAGCTGGAGATGTTTCTGATGAAGCTCTATCATGATATAGTGCAAACCTATGGTGCTAAAACTTATAAAAGATTTTAATATAAGTTTTATATTAAGATTTTGCTGCATTTGTCTGACCTTAAGATTACTTTCTTTTCTTACCTTGAAAAGCTACATATATTATATCTATAAAACCAGTATCAGTTTATGATAAAGCACATATATTTTGGTTGCCTCACCCAAACCCTCTTAAGGCAACAATTAAAGCAGACAAACTGTTTAATTATTAAAGGTATAGTGGAGGATTTTCGTGAATTTTTGAAAAGGTCCGCCCTCTCCACTTACAAAAAAAAAAAACTTGCTAATTTACAATGCTATACCTGCTCTTGAGAGGGAACATCTATTAAACACGTGCAAGAGCGTGCACATTTCTCCTCGTGCATGCTATGTTTGAAAGTTGCTGTTTCCATCGTTATACAAGCTTACTTTCCAAAAGAAGATGTGCAATTTTTCCACTATGGCAGACTCACCACCGGTAAGTGAAAATGGGAACGAGCATGTAGGACGGCCTTACGGGAAAAAGAACATCCTCCACTATACATTTAATTGAAGGAATAGTACACCCAAAACATGATTAGCCTTCATTTTCTACTCACCCCCATGCTGAACAACACTCTGGAGTACTTTTTTGATATC